AGGTCATGCACGCCACGGTGCGGCCGTAGTAGTTGATGTCGTCGCAGCGCTGGCCGTTGGCGAAGACCTGGATCGCGTCCGTGTTTCTGACTCTGAAGGCGATCTTGATCGACTCGGGGTCGATGAACGAGGTTCCGCTGGTTAGGAATGCGGCAGACCCCGAGGTGGCGGGGGAGAAGGAGCTCAGCGAGCTGGGGAAATACTGCACGTCGTGCCGTGCAGTCACGTAGTTGGTGTTGCTGGTATCGCTCCGGCTGTGACTACCTCCATGCTTCTTGACATGTAACGCAACACGCGTTTTCACTCGTACGGCGAAGGAGAGTCTAGGCCGCCTCGATGTCTTGGGCCAGCTGGTCGTAGCTCGGCGGAGGCAGGCGGCTCTGGCGTGACTGCCCGGAGCTGCGAGAGCTTGCCCGAGAGTTCGGCTGGGACTGAGGCAGAGTCACTGGGTTTAGGCCCAGGAGAAGGGGCGTGGCGTGTGGTTGTGCCTGGACGCGGAACGATTGCGAGGAGGCTGCCGGAAGTGCTGCTGCCGGAGCGCAGCTGAAGTGCTGGGGCTGAGTAGCGTCGTTCATGTTGTTGGCGGACCGGACGTCCTGCACGGCCGCGTCCTCACTGCCCTGCTAAGGCCGCAAAAGCGTGTTCTCCAGCACCCAGCCCGTGCCGCGCGCGTGGCCGTAGGCTGCGCCGCCTGCGAGTCCCACGGCCAACCCGGCTGCAGCCAGCGTTCCAGCAACCTCGCCCGCTGTGGGTGCGAGGGCTGCTGCTCCTTCTGCCGGCCTCCCCACGCCCTCGGTGGCAACGGCAACCTCTCCCTCCTCCGCAGCCACAGCAGCCGTCTCCTCGATGCTCTCTCTTTAGAGGGGGTTTCCCAAATGGATTCTATTCTACCTGAGAGGCTCCTGGCACTCGTCCGTCCAGCATTTGACCTCGTCCTGCGAAGGATTCGAAGTCTAAAACGCTGCGTGCAGGCGTGTGGCTGCAAAATAATGACCCCTAGATATGCTTGCAAAATGCCCAGCGGCTGCGTTTCTGCAAGGCGAGCTAAAAAAAACAGGGAAAAAAAAGAAAGCCAAGCCAAACCAGCCAGAAAGCCAGCCAGGAGCCAAACCAAACCAGCCAGGAGCCAAGCCAAACCAGCCAGAAAGCCAGCCAGGAGCCAAGCCAAACCAGCCAGAAAGCCAGCCAGGAGCCAAACCAAACCAGCCAGAAAGCCAGCCAGAAGCCAAGCCAAACCAGCCAGAAAGCCAGCCAGAAGCCAAGCCAAACCAGCCAGAAAGCCAGCCAGGAGCCAAACCAAACCAGCCAGAAAGCCAGCCAGAAAGCCAGCCAGAAAGCCAGCCAGGAGCCAAGCCAAGCCAGCCAGAAAGCCAGCCAGAAGCCAACCAAAAAAGCCAGCCAGGGTTTCCTTTGAGGGCGCTCGCCTTGCAGAAACAAAGGCAGCTGCTGGGCATTTTGCCAAACCGCATATCTAGGGGTCATTATTTTGCAGCCACACGCCTGCTCGCAGCGTTTTAGACTTCGAATCCTTCGCAGGACGAGGTCAAATGCTGGACGGACGAGTGCCAGGAGCCTCTCAGGTAGAATAGAATCCATTTGGGAAACCCCCTCTACAGAGAGAGGTGCTATGTTCTGTGTTCGCGCTTTCGCGCGGCGCAGTCTGCAGCTGTCGCTGCAGTCGCTGCGCAGTTCGCGCAGTTCGCGTCTGAACTCCACGCGGAACTCCACGCGGGCAGGGCCCAAAAAATGGGACATGCCTGTTTCCAGTTCCAAGGCACTTCGAGAACACAAGTGCCACTTGTGTTGAGCATCGCCACCTGCCCGGCATCGGAGCCACACGCCAGCCCGCCGAGTCATACGGATCATACGGATCATACGGTCATACGGTGGCGGTTGGGCACTCCGGGTGCGCCACCCTGCCGCGCCACCTGCCTGGCATAGAAGCCTCCCGGCCGCGCCACCTGCCCGGCATAGAAGCCCGGCCGCGCCAGCTGATACGAAGCAGTGTCCGATTATGTCGGACACTGGCTCCACACCTAGCGCATCACCCGGCCGCGCCACCTGCCCGGCATAGAAGCCAGCCTGCCGCAACTCTCGCCTGGAACGGACCCACTTCGAAAAGCACAAGTGCCACTTGTGCTTTCGAGCTGTCGAAATTTTCGACAGTTTACCGACAGTTTACCGAAAATTTCGGCCGTCGTGCGCAGGTCTCGCTTTTGACCGGCGCCATCGGTCAAATCAAATTGAGTCACATCCGAAAAAAACCCTGGTGCGGGCCTGGTGCGGGCCTGGTGCGGGCCTGGTGCGGGCCTGGTGCGGGCCTGGTGTGGGCGTGGTGCGGGCCTGGTGCGCCTTAGCCTGTGAGGGGTTGTTGTGTCAAACACACCACCCCCGAATCACGAGGATTACAAGGAAACTTCTCCGAACGGACTGAATGGTACTCAACTGCGCTCGCGGCAGGAATCGAGCCCCGTGCGGAGTAAGAAGCGCTTAGCTCCTTGGCCGACGCCTTAGCCACTGGACTAAGGCGTCGGCGAGAACATATGTAAACATGTTTGAAGGACCTGTCACCGGCAATATCCCGGAGGTCCTGGACAACGGAGAGGTGACTGACGGCACGCACGTCACCGCAGGGCAGCTGGCCCTCGCTTTGACGCCCTACGCTCAAGTAACGGACCTGGCGGTGAACACTGCAGCGTCCGGCAACAACGCGGCTGCCATCCAGTCCCTGGACGACAGAGTCACCGCAGAGCTGGCCTCAAAGCTGGACAGCAGCGCGCTGGCGCCGGCAATTGCGCCCCTGGCCACGGCGGCGGCCCTGGCCACCACGGACGGGCAGGTGGCCGCGCACGGAAGCAGCATCGCCGCGCTGCAGAGCTCGCTGACCACGGGTCTCTCCAACAAGGCAGACCAGTCGGCCTTCGACGTGCTGGAGGGCGTGGTTGCCACCAAGTGCACCCCGGACGGCGTGGACCTGAAGCTGTCCAACTACAGCACCACGGCGGCCATGAACGGCTCCATCGCCTCGGCCAACAACGCCACGCTGGCCACGGTGGCCGCCAACTACGGCCTCAAGACGGTGGTGGACCAGCACTCCCTAGACATAGCGGCGAGGATCACGCCGCTGGAGGTGGACACCAAGGTGGCCAACGCTCTCCTGGGAGCCGTCACCGCCGCGGCGCTGGCCTCCGAGCTCGCGAGCCGAGACGCCTCCATCTCGGGCCTGCAGGCCTCCAAGGCGGACGCCAGCGCGCTGGCCGCCCTGCTCTCCACGGTGGACGGGCTGGACACGCCACTGGAGGTGGACACCAAGATAGCAAATGCCCTGCTGGGTCTCGCCACCGAGGCCTTCGTCGCTGCGCAGCTTGCTAGAAATTAAACCGGACGCCAAGCATCTCGGCGTCCTGGGGCCAAGGCCGGACGCGCTCTCGGCCAGCGAGACCACGCTCCAGAGCGCCCTCGACGCAATCCTCGCGGAGCTCGCCGCCCTGCAGCTTTCCGGAGGCGGAGTTGTTAACGCGCCGGCCTGGGCGGGCTTCACAACTTGGGAGCTCGTTCGCGGAAGCAACGTCGATCGCAACCTGCATCTGGAGGCTCCTCTCTCTGCTGCGCTGGCCAACGGCGACGACACGCTGCATCACGGCCGACTGCTACTCCATCGCAGCGGCGGACGCGGCCCTCGCAGCTGCGCTGCTGGCCTACTACATCTCGGCGAAAGTGGACGTGCTGCTGGGCGACGACACGCGCTGCTGGGCGACTACCGAACGGCGAGCGCCCAGGACAGGCGCCATCGCGGGTGCGCTGCGACCGGACCAGGACGTTTTCACCACCGCCTCGGCGCTGGTGCATTGCTTGGCTGCCGACCAGGACCCGGCAATGGCCTCCAGCCCTGCTCGGCTACTACACCATCGCGCAGGTGGACGGCCTCCTGACGGGCAAGCTGGGCGTGAGAGAGGGGGAGAGAAGGCGCCCGCGTCTTCCACGCGCCGGTCCGCAAGCTTCTTGTTGTACCGGAACTTGTCGGCGTTACAGCCGGAACTCGGTGGCCGGCTGCTTCTCCTCAGCGCTCCGTACACCGTCTCGAGCGGCTGGGCAAAGTAGGCCTGCTGAGCTCCCGGCCGGGAGTCAGGCTGCAGGTGACGATGTTCCAGGGGTTCACAACCAGGGTCAGCGTGTAGCCGTCGACGCTCAGAGCCGCGACGGTGCGTGGCCACGCTGCGCTGGGGCGGACCGGCCAGTTCGACAGGGAGACGTCCATGAAGCTTTGCCAGCTTTCAAGGCAGCGTCCATGCGGCAACACGCCGGCTAACGAAGCGCGGCAGGCCGCTGCGCTGAGGCAGCTGGACGACTTCCTGGGACAGCTCCCGCCCAGGACCATTGACTGAGGGCTTTGAAACGGACGCTACAAGAGTATCCCGCTTTGTGCGGCTTAAAAACGCGGTTGCAGATGAACACCCAAGCCCGGCTCCACAGAAAAAAGGCAGGACTTGCGCCTTGGGCGAGCTTGGGGGGCCCTCAGGCAGAACACAGTTGCATGATTCCTGCATGAGCCTCTCATGAATCCAACATGGGTGTCTCGTGAGAGCGTGGACGCCACGTGACTGCACAATGGCACGCTCGAGTCAAACCATGTCAAGACTTTAGGGTTTGGGTCGCCACAACATCTGCCAAATTTGCCTCTTGGGATGCCCCGCCAATCATCAAGATTTCCAGCGCTCCCCCCCCCCTAGCCCCCGCTACCCGTGCTACCCGTGTTCCCCCCCCCCCGCGCTACCCGGCTACCCGCGCTGCCCCCGCTATCCCCCCGCTACCCATGCTACCCATGCTACCTGTGCTACCCATGCTACCCATGCTACCTGTGCTACCCGTGCTACCTTGTAAAAATGCTGCCAGGGCCAATGTAGTTGCGCTTTGTTGAGGTGGGTAGCATGGGTGCATGGCCTCTCCCCCAGGTCTGCATCAAAATGTGAAGCTGCCAAGCTTGTCCTTTTCTATCCAGCCTGTTTCCAGCGCTGGCTGGATGAGGCATCCTGTCCTTGGCAGCGACAACAAATCTGCAAGAAAGCCCACGTGGGGGCAAAAAGCACGATGGGCTTGCCCAACTTTTCACTCGCACGATGTAGAAAACTCTCTCCTGAACAGGCCGACTGCCCAAACTACTGCTTCACTGTGGGGCATCTGCCTTTGATCACCTGCTCAAACTCCTTGTAAGTCTCTGCGGGCACGCGCTTCTTCATGATGGTGGCCACGCCCTCATCGCAAACCAATTCCTTCATCACCTCCCCGGTGAGCGGCGAGGCCCATGAGGCCTGGAGCCCATCATCCGTGGTCTCGATCTTGGCGCCGCCCACTTGAGCAAGCTCCAGCGTGTTCTTGTCGAAGGCCTCCACTGGCAGCCCAAAGGCCATCTTTGCAGCGGCCAACATGGCCTTGCCGGTCTTGGTGGCCTTCTCCTCCTTCTCCATCCCTCCTTCTGTCAGGTCCAGACTGTACTTGAGCTGCTCCTTGTGCCACTTCTTCACGCCCTCGATGCCCAGGGCTCGATTTTCATCCAAGCGGCGCAAGAGCTCGAAGGAGCCGTCCAAGGAGCGGACAATTTGGGCCACGCCCTCCTCGCCAAACTCCGCTTCGAAGCGCTCCTTGACGTGTGGCTGCATCTCCTCGGAGGTAGGCGCTGGAGAGTACCTCATGTCCGTGCGCTTTGCCACGTGCGTCATCAGCTTGAAGTACTGGGCCACACCGTACTCGCTGGCGACCAGGACCACATTGCCCCACAGAGAAAGGGCACAAAAGCGGTTCAGGATGCCGCTGTGCTGCATCACCTCGTTCGCGAGAATCTGCGTCTCATCCACCACCAGAACCAGTTGCTGCGGGTGTGCCTCGAAGGCTCCACGCAGGCCCTTCCGCACCGCATGGGGCTGCGGCTGTGGGAAAAACAACCACTTCATGTGCTGAAACCAGCCGTGGAAGGTGGCTGTCTGGTTTGAGATCAGGCTGCCCACCACGAACTCCTCGATCTCCTTTTTGTCGTTCTCCTCGCCCGTGTAGTCGCCGAGGCCGATGAAGAAGCCCACCTTGCCTTGATCGTGGCATTCCTTCAGCACCGCACTGGTCTTTCCAGAGGTCTGCAGTCCGCTGATCAGCGTCATCAGCTCGAAGTTCTTGCGCTCTTTCAAAGCCTGCCGGACGATCTGTGTCATGCTCTTGTTGGCCACCCAGGGCTTGGCATACGTCGGTTCCTTAAAGCGCCCAGCGGAAATGCTCCACAGGTACCATCGGGCATACCCCTCTGGGTTCCAGGAGTTGTAAAAACGTGCGCCCGTGACACCAGTGCCCACAAGAGCCAGGGGAAGCGTTGCCACCTTGTAGATGCTGGCAACCTGCTGCAGCCGCGCCCACCATGAGCTTTGAAACATGGCAGCTGACGGAAGCTTTTGGGGACTGATTGCGGTGCTTCGTGCTATGATCAAAAAACATATCCAAAAATCGTTTTGCTTGAGGTTGAAAGGAAACTTGTCTATTGGACGAACGTCGCTGTGTGTGAGCCAACCCTTTCACACAATGCACACAATGCACAGCCAACGCATCCTATCTGAGCGCATCTTGGACACCGGTCATGCAAACAAGCCTCCCATCCTCAGGCAGCGGCTCCATCTGTTGGCGCATCTGCATCGCCTGGCAACGCGAGAACGGGGAAACGCAAGGCCAACAAGGAAGCAAGGCCAACTACAAGCTCCAACTCCAATAAGAACTCTTGTATCAAGACATGTCGGGCCTGATTCCGCTGGCCTGCTTCTCATCCACACTTTCCTCGTCATCTGAGATTGCTGCACCTGCTGGCGCCTGGACGCATCACCAGCTACCCGCAAAAAATGAGCTCCAAAAATTGCAGCTTCACAAGCCCTGGATGAGTTTATGTTCAGATAGCACGGCCCTTTCCCGCTCATCCCCAAAACAGAAACGGCCAGCAAGCTTGAAGGCGCATTCTCAGGTGCAGGTGGAGGCACCTGTCTGGACTGGGTCGTGAATCTCCATGGCCTGCAGCGCTTTCGAGCAAGGCGCTTTCACGCAGAAACTCACCACGGTCATCAAATGCCTCACCAGCACCAGCGGAAGGCCCAGGTCGAAGACGAAAGATAGCCGTGTGCATAAAGTAGAGACCTTGCTGCAGCATGCTTGAAAGACATCAAGGCAAAAAAACAAATTAATAGACATCAGTCAAGGCTAAGCGGTCTGCATTGGGGCCATGACCACCCATGCTAACCATGCTACCCTGCTACAAATGGGGGGGTACCCTTGTACCAGCACAAAAAAAAAAAAAATTAAATAAAAAAAAGAAAATGCAGACACATCGCACCTGGAGAGTTTCTGTTCGGGGGTAGCCCGGGTAAGTAAGACGGGATTGGGTTAGCCTTTATAGTCTGCATGCATCCATTTCCTGTATGGGTAGCTTACTATGTGTTGGGCCTGCATGGGTTAGGCGCGTGAGGGGGGGTGGGGTCTGGTGGCAGGGTGGGGGGTTGGTGGGTGGTTTTTAGCGGTGTTAGGGGGTCGGTGGTTGAAGGGAGGGGCGGTGGTGGTATGGTTGGTATAGCACGGGTAGCATGGGTAGCATGGGCAGCATGGGTAGCGTGGGTAGCAGGGGTAGCAAGGGTAGCATGGGCAGCATGGGTAGCAGGGGTAGCAAGGGTAGCACGGGGTCACCCGGCCTTGCGTGCACTTCTCAAAAAAACAGCAAAATTGCCCTGTGGCCTGCTCGCGCACACACACACACACATGCTGGCTCAAAGTTGCAAGCGGTTTGCAAGCTTCAAGAACATGCTGGTTCACAAGTAAAAATATCCAAGGCTGTTGGATGTACAAGAGCAAGAGAGCCAGCAACATCGCAACGGGTTTGCAAGCGTCAAGGACATGTTGGTTCAGCATGTGGCGCAGCACATGCACAACCATGCCCTGGAGGTCCTTGTCCGCCAAACTCTGCAGCTCCAAGACCAGCTCCGCTCGGACCATTTTGGACACTGTTTTGTTGGCGGGAACAGCGCTCTCCTCATCCGAAGAAAATGAACCATCCAAAGATCCTGAGGACTCCACCTTCTCGCTTGGCCTGGGGCTCATCAGCCTAGCGCCTCAGGAAGCTGCGACCGCACAACAAAGGTCCTGGCAACCAACCAGAATTGGCCCCCCTTCCAAAATGGCCCCGGCTACCCGTGCTACCCGTGCTACCCGCGGGATTGCGGCTGGCCCCTGCTACCCGTGCTACCCACGCTACCCCTGCTACCCATGCTACCCGTGCTACCCGTGCTACCCGTGCTACCCGTGCTACCCGTGCTACCCGCGCTACCCGAGGGATTGCGGCGGGCCTCCAAATGGCCCCATGCTACCCATGCTACCCATGCTACCCATGCTACCCATGCTCCAGCTCAGAAATGCAACGAGGCATGCCTTGGCCGTGTTTTAAGGCTGGGTAGCATGGGTAGCATGGGTAGCAAGGGGATTTTGGAGGGTAAACTGCAGCAAGAGACAGGCCTGGTCCTCGTTGCTTGCCTTTGGCCTGGCACCAGGACACACTCAAGTTCCCTCTCCAAAAAGGCGCATGAATAAAGAATGCATGACATGCATTGACACCAAAAGCACATGAGGCAACAGACAGGCCTCGTCCTCCCTGCCTTTGGACTCATCTGCATGGCTTTCAATCGCCTTCGAGTCCCTCTCCAAAAAAAAATGCATAGCACGCTCTGACAGGCCTTCTCGTCTTCAGGCTCATCCGCCTGGTTCATGCTCGCCTGGCACCATGCTACATCCACGGAGTGACGCACAACAAAGCCGGGGTAGCATGGGTAGCATGGGTAGCGAGGTTCTGTTGGGGTGATGAAGAAGAAAAAAAACAGCAACACACGGGCCTCGCTGTCTTCCCCATCGGATTCATCTGCATGCCCTTCGATCGCCTGGCGCTATGTGACCCACTCAAGCTCTCTCCCCAAAAGCATGAGCAACAAATGGATACGCACTGACAAGCATGAGTCCTCTCCCCTTCCGGCATGTCAGCATCGTTTGAGTTTGCCTGACTCTCCATGACTTCTGAAAAACACTGTATTCAAGCAGGACGACTGCGGGCCTCGCTCCCTCCTTCGTCATGAGGGTTGGCATTGTCCACCGGCATCGGCTGCACAGGATCCTTGATTTCCACAGCCTCCGGGAATGCAACATGATCTTGACTATCAAAAAAATGTAACAGCAGGCCTCCTTCCTCTTGACTTCGGGCTCGTTCGTTGGCACGAGCCGTACTGCAGGCCTCCTTCCTATCAACTTCGGGCTCGTTCGTCGGCACAAACTGCACCGGCTCTGTGATTTCCATGGCCTGGCGGGAATGCAACAGGACCAGAGATCAATTTACTGAACTAATCAATCTTGCTTGAAAGGGAAAGGATCCGCCTCCAGAGAAGGCGCAATAGTCGGGTCCACTCCGCGGCAGGTCTCTAGTCGCCAAAATGGCACTGCAACGGCAAGTCAATCACGCACATGAATCTCAAGATGACTCTCCGCCCGGAAAAAATGCACTGCTCAAAAAAACGTTTTCCTGCCTCGGCCCAAAAAAACCCCATGCTACCCATGCTACCCATGCTACCCATGCTACCCGTGCTACCCAGCTCGTAAGTGCAGCGAGCCCTCACCTGGCCAACCCTGCACTGCTCAAAAAAACGTTTTCCTGTCTCGGCCCCAAAAAACCCCATGCTACCCATGCTACCCATGCTATTCATGCCTCTGCTGGCTGTTTTGTGAGCTGGGTAGCATGGGTAGCATGGGCAGCATGGGGGTTTTTGGGGCCGAGACAAGCTAACCATGATACCCGACTCACAAAGCAGCCAGCAGAGGCTTGGGTAGCATGGGTAGCATGGGTTTTCCAGTAGTCACGGCTGACAAGCAAAAAAACATCGGCGTGTTGAAAGAGGGGTGCAAGAGGGTGCAATCACAAATCAAGCCAATTCCATGCAAAATCGAACAAACAAGAGGGGGTGCAAAAGGGGTGCAATCACAAATCAAGCCAAAAACATGCAAAATCGAACAAAAAAGAGGGGGTGCAAAAGGGGTGCAAAAAGGGTCGGGTTGGGCGAACCAGTATCAAACCAGCGGGCTGGCGTGGGCAAACCGTGCAAAACCGTGCAACACGAGCTATTAGCCTAGGGTCTATATTTATGTAGGGCCTAGGCTAATAGCATTTTGTAGCTCAAAACCGTGAAAAACCGTGCAAAAGAAGGGGGACTCTGCCCGGAGTTTTTTTTCCTGTCAGGCTGCCGTGCGTGTTGGCGACGAAGCGCGACTCCGGGGGGTCTGGCGCTGGGGGGCGGGTTTTTTTTTCGGCAGTGCCGAGCGGGCACTTTAGGTAGGACGTGCCGAGCAGGCACAGTGCCGAGCAGGCCCCGTAGGAGTGCCGAGCAGGCACAGCGCCGAGCAGGCACAGCGCCGAGCAGGCACAGCGCCGAGCAGGCACAGCGCCGAGCAGGCACTGTAGGGTAGGCAGTGCCGAGCGGGCACAGCGCCGAGCAGGCACAGCGCCGAGCAGGCACGTAGGATACTGGTTCGCCCAACTCCGTTTCGATACTGGTTCGCCCAACCCGTTGGTTTCCCGAGGACCCCAAACCCGGACCCAAACACGACTCAAACAATCACGGAACAGAAGTAGTCAATCAAGGGTGGCCCGGCCTGAGGGGAGGCGCCAGGACGTTGTTCGATGGTGAGGGAGACGGAGCTCGGAGTTTTTTTGGGCCCTTATAGGAACCTATAGGAACCTATAGGAATCTTGTAGGAAACTCATAGGAAACCTGTAGGAAGCCCTCTTCATCTTTTTCTATGGGCTTCCTATGGACTTCCTATGAGTTTCCTATAAGATTCCTATAGGTTCCTATAGGTTCCTATAAGGGCCCAAAAAAACTCCGAGCTCCCGACACCCTTCGTCTGGTTGGGTCATGACCCGTTGGGCAGACCCCCCGTACCCGTTGGGCGAACCAGTACTTTAAAAAAACGAAACCCCCCAGGCACGTTGGGCAGACCAGTACTCGAAAAAAAAATCCGAAACCCCTCCAGACCTGTTGGGCAGACCAGTACTTGAAAAAAACGAACCCCTTCCAGACCCGTTGGGCAGACCAGTACTAAGCCAAAAATGCCGCGCCCTTTGGGCAGACCAGTACTTGAAAAAACGAACCCCCTTCGGGCCCGTTGGGCGAACCAGTACTTGAAAAAACCCGACCCCTATCCCCCAGACCCGTTGGGCGAAAGGGGTACTTTAAAAAAAACGAAACCCCTCCAGACCCGTTGGGCGAACCAGTACTTGAAAACGAATCCGAAACCCCTCCAGGCCCGTTGGGCGAACCAGTACTGAAAAAAAAAAACAAAAAAAAAAAAAAAAAAAACGAAAACCCCTCCGGGGGGTGGGGGGAAAACATGTGGTTTTACCATGTTACTGAAAAAAAAACGAACCCTTCCGTGACACGTTGGGCAAGACAAGTACTATAGCAAAAATGCCTGCCGCCCTTTGGGCAGGGACCAGTACTTGAAAAAAGAAACCCCCTTGGGTGGCACCGTTCATTCACGTAGTACTTGAAAAAACGAACCCCCGTCGGGCCCGTTGGGCGAACCAGTACTTGAAAACGAATCCGAAACCCCCAGACCCGTTGGGCGAACCAGTACTAAGCCAAACCCCCCCGGTCCCGTTGGGCAGACCAGTACTTTAAAAAAACGACCCTCCCCCCAAACCCGTTGGGCGGACCAATACTAAGCCAAAAACCCCGGGCCTGCTGGGCGAGCCAGTACTTGAAAAACCTGAACCCATAATCAAGCAGAAAAACTAGCGAAAAGTCAACCGGCTGAAGGTTGCAATCAGGGTGCAATTAGGGTGCAATTAGGGTGCAATTAGGGTGCAAAAGGGTGCAACCCAAAAATCGTGCAAAAACACACACAAACAGGCTAAAAAAGGGTGAGTGCCAGAGGACGCACTCCCAAACGAAGCTAAAAACACCCGCAAAATCAAGCAAAAAGCCAACCGGCTGAAGGGTGCAATCAGGGTGCAATCAGGGTGCAATTAGGGTGCAATTAGGGTGCAATCAGGGTGCAAAAGGGTGCAACCCCAAATCGTGCAAAAACACGCAAAAACAGGCTAAAAAAAGGGTGAGTGCCAGAGGACGCACTCCCAAACGAAGCAAAAACACCCGCAAAATCAAGCGATGGGAAACAGGAATTCCTATGCCCTTGCATAGGGCACTGTTGCCACGAACCGACATGCCACGAAGCGACAGGAGGTTCTGAGCTCACATTCCCCAAGTGTTTGGACATTGTACTTCTGTGACAGGTCATTTGAGTGCCAGACGACGCACTTACAAACGAAGCCAAAAACACCCGCAAATACCAATTTTAAAAGCCAAATCCGGCTGAGGGTCTGCATATTCAGGGAGCAATTAGGGGGTGCAATTAGGGTGCCAATCAGGGTGCAAAAGGTAGGGTTGCTGCAACCCCAAACTAAAGCGTGCAAAAAACACGCAAAAACAGGGCTAAAAAGGGTGAGTGCAAGAGGACGCACTCCCCCGAAAAAATCAAGCAAAAAGCCAACCGGCTGAAGGGTGCAATCAGGGTGCTATTAGGGTGCAATTAGGGTGCAATCAGGGTGCAATTAGGGTGCAAAAGGGTGCAACCCAAAAATCGTGCAAAAACACACACAAACAGGCTAAAAAAGGGTGAGTGCCAGAGGACGCACTCCCAAACGAAGCAAAAAAACACCCGCAAAATCAAGCAAAAAGCCAACCGGCTGAAGGGTGCAATCAGGGTGCAATTAGGGTGCAATTAGGGTGCAATTAGGGTGCAATCAGGGTGCAAAAGGGTGCAACCCCAAAATCGTGCAAAAACATGCAAAATCGGGCGCAGTTGGGCGAGCCAGTATCAAAACGGAGTTGGGCGAACCAGTATCAAAAACGGGGTTGGGCGAACCAGTATCAAACCCCAGCGGGTTGGGCGGGCCAGTATCAAACCTGAACGGGTCGGGCGGCGGGCCCCTTATAGGAACCTATAGGAACCTATAGGAATCTTATAGGAAACTCAGAGGAAACCCATAGGAAACTCATAGGAAACCGTAGGAAGCCTCTTCTTCTTTTCCTATGGCCTTCCTATGGAATTCCTATGAGTTTCCTATAAGATTCCTATAGGTTCCTATAGGTTCCTATAGGTTCCTATAGGTTCCTATAAGGGCCAAAAAAAAAGAACGAGCTCCGACCCCCTTCATCTGACTGACCCGTTGGGCAGACCAGTACTAAGCCAAACTCGGGGCCAGACGATGACTCACATGAACGGTCTACTAAGGGTCGTTGGGCGAACCAGTACTAATCCTACGTGCCCGCTCGGCACTGTGCCTGCTCGGCACTCTCAAGGTGCCTGCTCGAAGGGAAATACAGTGACCTCTGCGGCAAGACTGCTGACCTCTTCCGCCGCACACTTAGTCCCGGACGTCTGGGTCTCACGCATGTCCCTTACGGCACTCTCGCGGGCTCGTCGGGTTTACTGGACCGCTTTCGAGTAGCACCCGCTCTCTGGGGCACTGTGCCCGGCACTTCTAAGTGCCTGCTCGGCACATCTACTTACAAGTGCCCGCTCGGCACTGCCCAAAAAAACCCGCTTCGCAGCGTCAGACCCCCCGCAGGGCTTCTTCAGGATGTCGGATCTCACACGCACGACAGCCTGACAGGAAATGAAAAAAGACTTCGGGGATTTGGGGGGTGCGCCACATGCCAGCACAATCAAGCAAAATCATGCCAACACCATGCAAAATCAAGCAAAAAATCATGTCATGCATGCAAAAATCGTGCAAAACGGCTATTCTTCCGTCCGTATATAGATATACGGACAAGAAGAATAGCATTTTTCAGCGCAAAACCGTGCGAAACAAGCTCTCCAACCATCTGCGCACAGATCCGGAGAACGCGCGGCCGAGCAAAAAAAACTGGACCCGTAAAAAAAGAATGGCAACTTGGGCAAGACAACGACAGCAGATCACGGAGGCCGCGGACGGCGGCGCCCGGGCTCGCACGGGGGCGGTGGTGGTGCCATCGTGCTGAACCTGCGGCGCGGCCCGGGGGCCTACGCGCTGCTCTCGCGCGCCGAGAGGGCCCCAACGACTACATCCTGCTGCGCGGGCGGAAGAAGCTCGTGCGCTCCCTGCAGGGCGGAGAGCACCGGCTGACCAGCTGGGCAAGGCTTCTTCCGCGACAAGTACTACGAGTACCTGGTCCACGTGCCGGTGTGATAAATCTATAACACAAAACTGCAGCTGCTCAAAGAGATGACTTCCGGCGGCCTTCCGTCGTGCAGGCATGGTTTATGGAGAAGCCCGCCGTGTGGGCGGAGGCGGACGTTGCCAGCCTTGCGGCCGCTCTGATGGTCCAGCGACCTCCCGCGCGGGCTCGCGAGGATGCGCTGCTCCAGGCGCCTGTACACCGGCTCCGCATCGAGTACCTT